ATCAATGCATACATTATCATTAACTATTAATCTCATACAATAACGTAATGAAAGTGTCAATGACACTGAGGCTCACCACAAAAAAGAGGAAGTCGCGAAGGAAGTCCAAGTTTTAGAGAGTTAAAGAGTTTAGAAGAAGCAACCATCGACGTACATTATAAAAACGAGAGTAATATATGGAAAAACTCCTTATATACTCTTGATAAATTATATGTGAATTTTTTTACTGTGAAGAGTAATAATAATATTATATATGAAATTATAAATAATTTACTAAACCAAAAATAAATACAAATTTTCTGACGGTGATGGCGCTAATCCCGCTTTGATGTTCTTAGCATAAAATTATATATATATATATATATATATATATATATATATATATACATATATATTGCTAATCTGAGTATGAGGTCTCAGGTTTAGTATTAGGTAAATACAATAAGGGAATCCCACAACTGCATCTTGTGCCTGTGTTGCAGATACATGACTCGTATCGGGCGTTTCGCTCTGAGAACCTGAACATCAGTGTCGGGTTTGAGACGAGGCCATCTGCTCATCACCATAGCGACAAGATACCGGCGGGGCTGTGGTACGCAAGCACCCTGCGCTGGTTCGACAATCTACAGGTAAAACGCAGGTGGCTGGTCGTCTGACATTAGACCGGTGGCTGGTCATCTGACGTGTGACCGGTGTCTAGGTCGTCTGATGTGTGACCGGTGGCTAGGTCGTCTGACGTGTCACCGATGGCTAGGTCATGTGACGTTTCACCGGTGGCTAAGTCGTCTGACGTTTCACCGGTGGCTACGTTGTCTGACGTTTCACCGGTGGCTATGTTATCTGACGTGTGACCGGTGGCTAGGTCGTCTGACCGGTGGCTAGGTTGTCTGATGTGCGACCGGTAGCTAGGTCGTCTGACGTGTGACCGGTGGCTAGGTCGTCTGACGTGTCACCGGTGGCTAGGTCGTCTGACGTGTCACCGATGGCTAGGTCATGTGACCAGTGGCTGGATTATATGATCACCGGCCGAACATTTATATGTTAGGTGTAAATATTAGGTGCTGTAATTCTTGTCATCATGTGTGGTTTGATGAGGTTAGATGGACAGTCCCTCGTTTCATTGCAGACAATACAAAGTGAAATCTCTCGACCAATCAGAAGAGGCAAGGTGTTTAGGAATGTGAGACCACCAAAGAAACTCCTGAGTCGTCACTATAAGTACAAGCTGTAGCTTTTTACACACCTTACTCCTACATATATACGACTCTTAATTCTTCATACACACCTATTAATTCCACGCTTAAATGTCAGTGTTAATGGTAAGGTTATGTACGTAAATACTTGTTTTAACTCTGTGATCCCACTCCCACTTGTAGACACATGACCCTGTTGCTGAACTTCCACGAGTTCGAGGTTTGCTACTGGACGTCGTTTGCGAAGCAGTGTGGGATTGAGCTACGCAGCAGTGGTGGCATCTCTCTGTGCACCGAGTACCTACAGCGGCTCATTTCCTATAAAGATGGGTTGATACAGCGCCCTCGGTTGGAGAGAAATGTAAATACATCAAACCCTGTTTTTTGGGGTTATTTCTAATTTTTGCATTTCTGCATGTCTCTTATTCTGGAATGCTGTGGTATTCTGATGTTCTGTAGAGTTCTTTTCTTTGGAATATTGCCATTCTATGGAATTATGCCACTTGGAATTCTTCCATTCTGTGAAATTCTGCTCTATGGAAAGCTGTCTACAATCTTAGTCACATTTAGCGTTCTTCTGTTCTGCCTTTCATGCTATGGTTATTGAAAAATTTTATTATGTTTTAAAGCAGCAATCAGGATTAGATTTGTCGCCAGAGGTGAGCATTATATTGAGCTATAAAAGCTGGTATATCATTAATTGTTTCTGTGACTTTATTGATAGTATGTTGCGCTACAGCATATAGAATCGGGTATTTGTAAGGCATACACTGAATGGGGAAACAGTAAGAATTATTTCCCTTGTAGGTGGTTTACATGAATTGTGAGCTGAATAATGCTGAGATACACCTGCAGAGTGCAGCACCATCTGCTAAGAAGGAAGCAGAAAAGAATGTTTCGATGAGAAATCCAGTGAATAGGAACTATTTCCTCAGCGTTGCGAGGTTTGTTTAATTGTTGTTGAAACAATTTTTTAAATATTGCTTGAACCTCCAATTGTTGACACACAGTGATGTGCTTTTACGATCGTTGTTAAAATATTGCTTTGGTTTGTTGCTGTTGACATGTCGTGGCGTAGCTGTAGTTTGTCTTTGTTGTTGTTAACGCAGGGTGGCGTACGGGAGAGAGGCAGTGGTGCCTGACATGAGCGGGACGCCTCAGGATGACACGCCCAACCACCGGCTGGTGGTTCACCACCTGATGGCGCTGTGGGACATCGTCAATCGCAATGTGGTTCTCGCTCTGTATGACAGCTACACTAAGGCAGAGCAGCTAAAGTACAACCTGTCTGCAGATACCCTGAAAATACTGAAGGTGGACACTGGCATGACACCAGTGGTAAGGTGCTGCCATCTGTACTGCCCAGATTTTATAAGCGTGGATGTGAAATCTCAATTGCCTAGTTGTTCTGATTTCCCATCCAATCAGCAGGAACATACTATCATTTCTTTATGTTTCTATAGCTAGAGTACTGACAATGAGGTTGTGCTGCCGTAGTTTGATGCAGTGAATTTGTTAATCGTAGTGTTTCTCGTTGCATTGCAGAAACCTCGTAACCATATGTCTGACGTGTCTAGTGCTGCCACCTTGCATGCTGCTGCCGTGGCGACGCCGAGCCCGATGAGCAAGCTACAGAGCAGTCACGTGTCGTCGATGCTGCAGCAGCTCGTTTCAGAGGCTGACAGCAAGTTCTTTGCTCTTCACGAGGAGGTAACATCTCAGTAGAGAGCCTAATAATAACTGTTGTTACTTCAAACAGTTCATCGCTCATTAATCTATTGCTGCATAGCGTATAATTGACCTATCTGCATTATTGGTGAGCAGCTCTAGCCAATCAGTGTTACCATAGCACTTTCTAAAAACAATGCTTAATAGCAAAGTTCTGTAAAGTTGATATTTCTGCATGCATGTACACGAACAAACTGGAGGATAGTTATATATCCAAGTATTAATAATGTTGTGTGTTGACTACGGTAGCCCACTGCAGGAATTGTTGAGCAGCTGCAAGGTGTTGCTGCCTGCCAGACGGATGATGTCACTCACAAGAACTGGCTGAGTGAGCATACATCTATCTATTCTCTACATAGCTGGCCGCTCACTGTAGCAAGTTGTGTAGTAGAATCTTCCATCGTTCGCCTAGCTAGCTATTTGCCATAGCACGTCAGTCTTGTAGAATAAGTTATAAATTCATCTATTGTTGTCTTCCATGTATTATTACTACAAAGATGCTTTACATCAGTAATGCTTTAATGATATTGCTATTGCTGCTACTACCGATGTTGCTGATGCTTCTACTGTCCGTGCTGCTGTTGCTTCTGCTGCTTCTGCTGCTGCTGCTGCTGCTGCTGCTGCTGCTGCCCCTGCTGCTGCTGTTTCTGCTGCCCCTGCTGCTGCTGCTTCTGCTGCTGCTGCTGCTGCCCCTGCTGCTGCTGCTACTGCTGTTGCTTCTGCTGCTGCTGCTGTTGCTGCTGTCACTGCTACTACTGCTGCTGTTGCTACTGCTGTTGCTGCTGTTGCTGTTGCTGCTGCTGCTGCTGTCACTGCTGCTGCTGCTGTTGCTACTGCTGTTGCTTCTGTTGTTGCTACTGCTGTTGCTGCTGATGCTGCTGTTGCTGCTGCTGCTGCTAACTCACAATGTTAATATCTGCCGTAGTTGAGCTGATCAACAGTCAGGTGATGCTGAAGGGATGCGAGACATCCGGCTACGTGATAATGAGCGCTGCTAAGACGCAGATCCTGCAGCGACAGCACAAGCCCGTGTGGCGACACAGGCAACTCTACACGAAGACCACGTGGGTCGGCTCGCTCGACAGCATGCAGGTGCGTGGCAACGAGAAGGGTGCAGGTGCGCAGAAACGAGAAGGGTGCAGGTGTGCAGAAACGAGAAGGATGCAGGTGTGCAGAAACGAGAAGGGTGCAGGTGCGCAGAAACGAGAAGGATGCATGTATGCAGAAACGAGAAGGGTGCAGGTGCGCAGAAACGAGAAGGGTGCAGGTGCGCAGAAACGAGAAGGATGCAGGTGCGCAGAAACGAGAAGGATGCAGGTGCGCAGAAACGAGAAGGATGCAGGTGCGCAGAAACGAGAAGGATGCAGGTGTGCAGAAACGAGAAGGATGCAGGTGCGTAGAAACGAGAAGGGTGCAGGTGCGCAGAAACGAGAAAGGTGCAGGTGCGTAGAAACGAGAAGGGTGCAGGTGCGCAGAAACGAGAAGGATGCAGGTGCGCAGAAACGAGAGGGGATGAGTGAACAAGGAAGAGGCAGTAAGTGTGTGTGTGTGGGGGGGGGGACTGATAGGAGAAGTAGGAGAGTGGGAAAGGAGTACGTAAACGGAATGGAAGGTAGGGGCGAGGGGAAATAAGAAGTAAGTGGGTGGAAGTGTAGAGAGTGGAAGAAACAGCTATATGGAAAGTTGGGTAGAGGAGATGGGAAGAAAAATAAAGATAAGAACGAGAGGCAACGGATGAGATAACTGGTGGAAGAATGGGAGTAGGGACTGTGTAAATATGATGAGATGATGGGGGTGGAGTTGGAGTTACCTCCCACCAAAAAAAGCTGGGCTTTCCGTTGGGATTACATATCGTCTTTCACGACAACGACGGGCGTTACTTTGTGCAGTACTACGCGACGGTGTACGTGGATCGCAGCAGCACGCAGGATGTACGCTGGCTCACTGTGGACAACATAGATGCTAAGGACACCGCGCCGCGCGACACCGTGTCCGACATGGTGGGCAGCGGCCAGAGTGTGGGCGGGGTCATCACCGATACCGTAGGAGCTGCCTCTCAGAAGAGTAAGAAGGAGGTAAGTAGTGTAGCAGTGTGGCCCACCTGTTTGCTACATGGTTGCCCTTATCTAATTATAGAGTACCGGTGCCAGTACCATGCTCGTGGAGTATTTGTGCGTTATTTTTTATATTTGTGAATTTGATGCCACACATTTGTGTTTTATCCTGTTAGCTTGACTTAACCTAAACTTGATCACATTGAGTGTACTCATTAGTTCTGTAATTAATTTATTAATTAGCTCTGTTTTTATTAGATTCTGTAAGTAGTTGATACTCGACGCGCTTGCAATGCACATGTAGCAATACTAGTGTGGGATCAACCACAGCATCGTATGGAGTCATACTAGGATCATTATATTCTATACATGTGCTTTATATCCTAGATTCAGCTGCAGAGGGTCGTATCGCGCTGCGGCTGCCACTTCTTCTATGCTCACTATGCTGAACACATGAATCCTGATGACTTGGAGGAGGTTCCACCACCTGTAAGTGAAATCCACTTCTCTGCACCTTTACGGTATGTAAATCTTCTACTGATCCTGCCGCCTCCCTATATGTAATCATCTTTCCCTCATCCCACAATGTAGGTAAAACTGCCTCTTCTGCTCCTTCTTCTTCCCATACTGAAACCTTTGTCTCCCAGCACCACCCTATCCATATACTTTACTGCCTCTATAATAATCTCTCTCCCCTGTCTCCTTGCTTTAGCACAAACGTGTTTACTGTGTGCCATAAGGATTCACTGCCCTGCAACTATAACTGTGTACACCCTTGCACGACTACTGGTTTTGTACATTGTTACTTTAACATACTGCTTTGCTGCGTCGGCTGTGTGTTGTACACAGCCATCAGACGAACTATGGAATCGTGAGGAGGCGACGGATTCGTTCACTCTCACCCATCAGGAACTGAACATCTGCACCAACTCGCTGCAGTATGACATGATCCTAGACATCATTAACAACCTGCTGCTGTATGTGGAGCCTCGGAAGAAGGTGCGATAATGCACGCATGCACACACACGCACGCACGCACGCACACACACACGCACCCACGCACGCATGCACACACACGCACACACGCACACACACATACGCAAACACATGCACAGATGTGTACACACTTATGCAGGCATGCATGCATACACACATGTCCACCATCTCCCACGCACACCTGGAGATAAACGTGCACACCCTTACACGCATGTTCATGCAGATCAGGGTGGATGTAGGAAAGATGAGACTATAGGAGGCTGGTGAAACCACGGGGTGCTTGAGACTATTGGAGGAGGTTGAGACAAGGGGAGGACTGGAGGGTAAAAGCTTGAGAGAAGATTGAGACCAAGAGAAGAGGTTGAGACTATAAGAGAAAACTTAGACTATGCTGGGAAGTTGAGGCTGGGGGAAGGATGATGAGACCACGATCGGAGGTTATAGTTACATCTAGCGGTAGTTAAGCTGCGCTCTTACTCCTACCAACTTCTCATTTACACAGGAGCAGTTCAAGAAGCTGCAGTCGATGAGATTTCAGCTGCAACTGTGCAGCATAGAAGACCAGCGCAGCCCTATCCTGCAGATACAAACCAAAGTCAGGTATCTCGCAGCCATCCGCAGTCAGTGGGAATACTACACATGCACATTTCTGATGGCTTTCTCGTCATTTCATCGCAGCTGTCTGAGCGCCTGCATTCACACCTTTCCTGACCTGATGCGAAATAAATTTGATAAGGGATAATTCTATACGAGTATAATCGCATAATACGTGCATCACCATGTAATAGCTACCCATCTCACATCTCTGTTAACGATAGGCAACTGCAGTTGAGACTACGCAGTCTGGAGAGGCAACTCTACCTGTTGTATCGACAGCAAGATGGCGACTCCAGCAGTGCGTCTGCGCTGTACCGACAACAGGATAGTGACCATGGCAACCAGTCTGCGATGCACTGGCATCAAGATGGCGACTCCGTCAGCCAATCTTCACTGCACAGCCAACAAGATACCAGCTCCACAAGCCAGTCCTTGTTAAATCAGATGAGCCAGCTGGAAAGTCAGATCGATGAGTACAAGGAGAGCCTGAACGCGACCAACGAAGAGCTAGGAATCATGATCAGGTGACACAAACCTGCAACATGTTAACATTCAGTCTTTGCTGGTTTGTAAAATTACGCCATAGAGTCGAAATTCGTTGGGGAAAAACCCCTGTTTATACCATCTGTTATATTTCCTAGCGCCCCTCCAATTCTTACTCTGCATTCTGCTGAATTGTTATGTTTGTATCGCTGCAGCTGTTTCAAGGAGAGTATGCTGCACAGCGAGTCCAAACCGAAGGCGACCAAGGACCCGGACAAGGTGTCGGTGCGTCATCGCTTCGAGGTCTGCTTCAAACATGCTCAGTGGCGTCTCACGGACAGCGACGGCCAGCTGGGCATCGCCGACGTCGCACTGCGCAATTTCTTGTACACCCGCACTAACAAGGACAACGACTCTGGTAAGTACACTGCAGATCTACATGTACAACCGCACTAACAAGGACAACGACTCTGGTAAGTACACTGCAGATCTAATTGTACAACCGCACTAACAAGGACAATGACTCTGGTAAGTACACTGCATATCTACGTGTACAACCGCAACAAGGACAACGACTCTGGTAAGTACACTGCAGATCTACGTGTACACCCGCACTAACATGGACAACGACTCTGGTAAGTACACTGCAGATCTACGTGTACAACCGCACTAACAAGGACAACGACTCTGGTAAGTACACTGCAGATCTACTTGTACAACCGCACTAACAAGGACAATGACTCTGGTAAGTACACTGCATATCTACCTGTACAACCGCACTAACAAGGACCATGACTCTGGTAAGTACACTGCATATCTACCTGTACAACCGCACTAACAAGGACCATGACTCTGGTAAGTACACTGCAGATCCACGAGTACACCCGCACTAACGACAACAACTCAGGTAAGTACACTGCAGATCTATGTGTACAACCGCACTAACAAGGACAATGACTCTGGTAAATACACTGCAGATCTACGTGTACAACCGCACTAACAATGACGACTCTGGTAAGTACACTGCAGATTCACGTGTACACCCGCACTAACGACAACGACTCAGGTAAGATCAGTCAGACCTACGTGTACGTCCGCACTAACAAGGATAGTTACTCACGTAAGAGTACTGCAGTTCTACATGTACACCCGCACTAACCAGGATAATTTTGTAAATAATGGTTACAGATTTTAGCTTTCAAAAATGAGGCACGGTTGAATGTGGTATATACAATCCATTCTTACCTGTTCTTACCCCTTCTAATCCATTCGAGCTATCATGCGTTTCAGGAGAACACCTGATGGAGTTGAGTTACACAAAGATGACCAACCTGCTGCCTCACAGCGCATACAGGGACGTGGCGATGCCAAAGGACACCAGTGGGAAGCACCTGCTCCTACGGATCTTCTGCAGAGATAGGCAGCCAGGTAACCACCCTCTGCGATCTCAGCAGTGTGTATATCAGATCTAACTGGGTTAATTGTTACTCAACCGTGAAGATTGGAAAACCGATCTTCAAACGTTTCTAATCTTCACGGTTGAGTAACAATTAATCCAGTTAGATCTATTAGTCTACCAACCGAATGAATTTATTTAATGAGTGTGTATATCTAATGTGCAGCCAGTACTGTTTATGTTAATTTCTTATGTTCATTTTTCACAAAGTATATAAACAAGTCTATAACAACCTCCAGTACTACGGTAGAATCTCATAAAGATGTAGGGTATCATATGATATATATATGGGTTATAGTAAATGTACGTCAAGATTAGAATGAATTGAAAATTATCATACATATAAACTGAAATGAATAGGTAGTTGTTTCTTTTCCCAGTTGGAGGAATTTCGATTAAGGAACATTTTGAAGTGAATGTCGCTCCTGTCTCCATACAACTGACCTACCAGTTCTTTAAGACCATGATGCAGTTCCTGTTCCCGGGACGTAACATAGAAGGCTCTGATGACAACTTGGATGGGGGATCACAACCGGAGGTGGAGAAGGTGATGCCCATCTTGCTCTTTACAGATCATTGGAATCGTTTACTGCTGTGAAATGGGTACACACAGCACACTTTGGGTGAAGCTGTGGTTAAGCGATGTCTGTAGGGACCCGTGTCAAATTGGTTAGGTTTGCAAATTCACTCAACGCTTTCTGGTGTGTTTAGAAGAAGGTGATGAAGAGACCTCTAAGCAGTGGCAGGATCGAGTCACAGGACATCGATGACATTCACAAGATGAGGGAGAGAGCCGCCAAGAACAACTTGTTCATGTACATTAAGCTAACGGAGGTGCCCATGCGAGTCAGCTACAAGGTACTGGCTTTGCTACAAACCGCTGAATGCTAAGTGTGTCACATCCGCTCTATCTTTACCCAGAAATTAAATGCCGTCAAAATTTGCACCTGGCTGGTGCGAATCGGAGACGTCTAACACTCAACTTGATGAGTCGTTCACTTGTTATTGAATTTTGCTCAAAACACTTGGTGCACGTCTAGGTGCTCATTATGTTTCCCTCTTCTAACCCATGATGAACAAAATGAAAATGTGAACCGCTGCGCTGTCCCAGATGATATGAGCGTTATAGATGGCAGCACTGTTTCTGCAGGGGGAGAAAGAGAAGAACATTGAGGATGTCAATGACTTCAGCATCGTCATGCCAACGCTCGAGTATCACAACCAGATGTGGACTTGGTTGGACTTGGTCATGGCGATCAAGAACGACAACAAGCGAGCACTACTGTCACAGGTAATTGACAGTCAAGTATTAGTATTCAGACATTCGACGATCCACTGAAATTTAATAACAATGAAAACGTTATCGCGATTGAAAATTTTTCCCCTGTCAACAATGGCCAATACCTTGCTGTAATTCAGGTGACACTATACTGTAGTTGTACATAATCAGAGATTGGTATTCAAACATTGCTCACCAAGCTGCTTGTGTGTACATAATTTCCAGGCAATCAAACAGAAAATACTGAAGCCAAGCCGAGTGGACGACAGCCAACATGGAGCTCTTCAGCAGGAGACAGACAAGGCCAAAATGCTAATGGGGGCCAAAGTTCTAGTATGTTTATGTTTCTAGAGCCAAGACGTTTATGATAAGCTGAGATACTGACATTTAAGCCAAGACGTTTTGTAATATTTTGTCTCGAATATCTTGTACCTTGGGTGATTCTTCTTTTTAAATTTAATGTTTTTTTAAATTAATGTTTTGCAGAGCAGTGACAAACCATCCAGTAAGAAGAGCTTGTTTGGGAAATCTAGCAAGCAGTGATGTAGCAGTTGCCACAAAGTTACTTCAGTAAACAATGCGGTCTGTGCCAATATTTGCTTGCATCATTTTTACTTCTTCTTGTTTTGAACTTCAGTAGGACATTCACACTTATTTATGACATTGTAGGTGAAACTGAACATTTTACTAGAGGATTTAAATGTCCTGTTTGTAGTTTTGTGGTTTTAAAGAAATGTAAATTTAGTTGTTACAATTGTTAGGTGCTCAGCTGTTATGCAAAGTTTATGATTTTGATAAAGATGATCAGTTCACAAATTGCTCAGCATCATAATTTCGTTCTATACTTCAAGAAGATGATCATGATATTTAAATATAAAAATTTGGTAGCTACACAATTAAATAGTTACAAGAAATTCTGTTGACTTCTATTCGCTCTCGAAGTGTTCTCCAAATGCTGCATAAGTGGTGATAAAAAGAATATATATATATTGTTGATGCAAAACAACTATCATTCAATTTTTATTCGAATATACATTTATATGTTACATTGCTTAGTTTTCTGAAGACACATAATTTTAAGTTATTGTCTACATAAAATCAGCTAATTCAAAATTATTGTAGTTTATAACATAGGACTATGTCAACCTACAGTATATTCAATACTACTGTGTCCATTGCTCCGATGGCCATTTCAGATAATTGTGAGCCTTCGGGGTGCTGTGACCCTTAACTCCCATCTTCTTGGCCTTAAGCCCAGACACGATGACATTCCGCTTAGGGAAAGCAGTTGGTCCATCCTTCTGGGGATCATATCTGTGGTACTCTGTGTCGATGTGTAGATTTGGCGGCAGAGAGCTCTTAGATAGCTCTTGTAGGGCAGTAAGAGCTTTCACAGGAGTCGTGTAAAACTCGACGAGGTGAGACATCTGCGTCATCTGCTGCAGCTCTCTGTTGGGGATCATGTGTTGAAATGCCTTCTCGCACTCCACTAGTAGCTACGGATAAGACGTATAGGTAACACTGTACATTCTATCACACATAAACAGGTTGCATCGCAATTCATCGATGTCATGCAATTTTATGGATATATATGTTATATACATAATATCAGGAGTAGATAATAGGGGAGGAGTGTGACATCAATAAACAAGGGAAATTCGTCATTTACTAGCCTTATAATACCTACGATTTACTACGCGTAACTCATCCAACTTGAGCTCAAATCGGACACAGTACATTCGCCTATCATCGTGCGAAATCGTTTCCTCGTAGACACCCGCAATCCGGAGATACAGCCTAAAATGTACGACACGATTCTCCATTCTTTGGCCATCAATCCAACGCCATTGCGCGCCTATAATTCA